AGTTTTGCATACGAATTTATAATTTATTCAGACTTGGGTAAAATGTATATAAGGTTATGTTCGTATTATTCCAAATATACAGGGTGATTTAGACTTGTGGTGACAAAAGCCCAGGCGAAATTTCTCTCATCAAAATATGAAAAAAGGTTCTTATAAACACGTGTCCGAAAATGCTTCATTATCGAGATACAGGGTGTTTCGTTTAAAAAAAATGAGTTTTTTATTTATAGCTTAAAAACGCTAAATGATTCAAGGATAAGAAAAAATCACATAAAGTTCATCTAGCTTAAAAAATTTACCGAGTTTTAATTTCCCAAGTGTCAAATTTTTTTAAAATATTGAGGGCCCCCACCAAATGTCGGCCCCAGGGCCCTAAAACTCCTAATCCGGCCCTGATTATGCTGTTTAAAGTATAGCCAACCTATAAAATCAAAATTTTGGGTGGGATAAAGTATCTCATTACAGCACCGAAAGAGGTGTTTTAATGAAGTCATTATGAACGCAAAATAGATAAATAAATTTTATTGTACTAATAGAGTGCTAATAACCTATATGGTTGATGAACTGTTTTTGTCTTAATAAAAAAACATAGTAATAGAAATTTGAATTGTGTGAATACTAATAAAGTTTTGTAAAAGTTATTGCCTAAACAAAGTTTCTGTCACAGTCTGTGACTCACAGAAGTTCTGTGTCAGAACATAGCTTTCTGTTATATTCTTTATTTGCTTTAGTTTTTTCTATAACTACAGTAATTATGATGCTACTCAAAAACATTATATTTAATTTATTTATTTTTAATGTTACACCCTAACAAACTTTTTAAATGTAATTCTCAATATTAACTTTAGGACGGTTAATACGGGTAAACTTTTTTAGGATGGATAGTTACAATCCGGGCGGAATATATCTGTTTCAGTAGGCGTCAGCCATCATAATCGTGCAAAATAGTAAGATGCCCGTCAACGCGTTGCCGATGTATTCAGTTTACTTTGTTCTCATTCAGAACCTCGTAATTAGTGGAATAAATTAGTGGTTTCAATTAACGTAAAAGTTTGACTTACACAGTGTTGTTCACAACCAAAAAATTAGTGGTAGTACTTTTCAATTAGTGGAAAAAGTTTGCAAACTTCCAACTTTTACCACTAATTATAATTGGAAAGAGGCTTTGCGCATGTGCGCGGATATTTTATGTCAAAAGCAAAAAGTTTGAAGGTTACGTAAGATTATATAAATATTATTGTAATGGTTGTAAAAAATATTATTTTAATATAATTAATATTGTATGTCAGGTTAAGAAGAATGGACAATCTTTTAGCAAATTCCCTTAATTTTAGATGTTAATTTTGCGCATTGGGAGTGATCGTTTTGTGTTAATTATAAGTATAATTGAAACCACTAATTTTTTCCACTAATTACAAGGTTCTGAATGAGGCTTAAGGAAGGTAAGTTAGTCAAAAAACTCGCCGGTCGTCGTGTCGTGGTGCGTGTTATTGTTTTATTTTTAAAATGGAGATAAATGCCGTAGATTATATAATTACTTGAGTTAATTTAAATATGGGTTTATGGGTCTCACATCTTACACACATCGGTAAGTTTATTGTCCAATTTTTGCATGTATATAAATTTCTGCCCCCCCCAATTAATTATGTCACCAGCCGCCACTGTAATTGATAATGGTTTTAATACATTATTTAATTCTATATATCAGATATTTGCTACTGAATTTATGTAATTTACAATTAGTGTATACCTACTAAGGTGGTATATTACACGCTTCGCTTCATGCAAATAATAGTATTTGTTTTACTATTTACAGAGCCTCGTATGTATATTCAACAAACACATACAATTGTGGTAATAAACAGAATAAATTTTTATTTTATTTTAAAGCAACCAAGTTATAACTATTATAATTCATAATAAAAACTTTAACATACAATTTTATTTATAAATAATAAAAATTGATTTGTTAACGTCAAATGTAAACATTGTATACAAATTGGATAACACAATATTAATAAAAGATGAAAGTAATAAATCTTATTATCACGAGAAATGCATTATTTAAATGTAAAAAAATACAAATAATTAAGTATAGAAAACCTTGCACATGATCAAGGTTACTTTAAGAAAAGTGTGCATTATTACCAATACCATTAATAAAAATAACCATACCAACTTATTTTTGCAACAATTGTTTTAATATTTGATTGTATTTCTTCTAATTATTTTTTAAGGTTAATTAAACTATTTAATTAAGTATTGGTAAATTAATATTAGGTAATATTTTGGTTACATTGGCCGTATTTAATAAATACGAGGTGTGTTAAAAAAGTAATGGAAATTTTATTTTATTAATTAGTAAGCCTACCTGCCCGGGCGCTATATACGAGGTGTGTTCAGAAAATAACGGGAACTGTTAAATTTCGCGGGTTCAGAGGGTCCGGTTGTCATAAAATTTTCTTTATTGTGTTGGTATACATGCCCCCTAAGTATGATAAAAACTTTAGCTGCCCAAGTAGAACCACCATATTGGAACAAGGTGGGGCCAACATTGTTGATATAAGGGATTTATATTGTAAGTCTTTATGGGGCCAATAGAGAGTTGTGAACATTTTGTAAAATATATCCCATATATGTTTTCAATATTTGTTAAATATTTACCACCCTTATTGACGACATATAGGAGCTCAATATTAGTGCAATAATGGGTTTCAACGTGGGCCCTAAAACAGGTTCACAATGCAGGTCCCATATATTTTTTCAATATTTGTTGAATATTTACCACCCTTATTGACAACATATAGGAGTTCAATATTTGGGCAATAATGGGTTTCAACGTGGGCCCTAAAACAGGTTTACAATGTAGGTCCCATGTATTTTTTTAATAATTGTTGAATATTTACCACCCTTATTAACGACATATAGGAGCTCTATATTTGTGCAATAATGGGTTTCAACGTGGCCCCCAAAACAGGTTCCCAATGCAGGTCCCATATATTTTTTAAATATTTGTCGAATATTTACCACCCTTAATGACGACATATCGGGGCTCAATATTTGTGCAATAATGGGTTTTAATATGGGCCGGAAAATAGGTTTACAATGCAGATGGGCTGCTTTTAATATGAGTACAGTAATTTCAAATCGTATTGTTTCCTGAGGCAGTTTTACTAGATATCTAGTATATAATATACATTTATTACAATATTACCTTGCAATATTCATGCAACTCAACCTTTATGCAATATTAATGCTCGAAATATTGCACTATTGCACATTGCCTCGCAATAATGAATAAAGCTTGCAGCAATATTACTTTGCTTAGTGGGATGTATCCATGTTTTAGTCATTTTTTACCTTTATTGTAGTAATATTAGGGCGCTCTATTAGTGTAATGTGTTAGAGCGTAACGTGTTAAAGCTTAACGCTAAGTATATTAAGAAATCTTTTAAAGATGTATTTTGGATGTTTAAAAAGTAACCAATCAAACCTTTTGCCCTGAAATGTTTTTTATTTTGGAAAATGCAAGTAGGTACTATTTACTTATGGATTTTAATTTTAATAACTAATAAACGCTTTTATTGTATACAATTTTTTTTATTATTTCTAAATACATAAAAAATTTGAATATTAAACAAAAATTAAAAATCTTAAAACCAAAAATGTGATCACACAACACACTCAGTTTAAAATTAAATAACAAAAAATTCTTTTAGTTAATATATTATAAAATCACATAACTTTCAGAGATATTCAAAATTATACAAACTTACAGAGATATTCAAAATTATACAAACTTACAGAGATATTTAAAATTATACAGGGTGTTTGGTAGGTCGATGCAAAGTCTTACGGTTTTCGAGTTTTTCGAGAATTTTTATTTTCTTTGAAAAACTACTACCACTAAAATAAAACATAACACATTGATGTTATTTTTTTTAAATAGCTTAAAGTGTGTCTTTTCAGAAAATGTTAAGTCAGCTTGTCCACATTATTAAAAAAAAATTAAAAAAGTTTCATGGTTTATTTTAGAAATAATAGGAGACAAATATAAAAAAAGTAGTTTTTCAAAGAAATCCAAAATTCTCGAAAAATTCAAAAACCTATGGTATATACATATAACATATGTTTGGCTTAATTAACTCTAAATGGCCTACCCTATCATCTCTCCAAGACCTTCGAAACGCCCTGTACTTACAGAGATATTTAAAATTATATTTAACGAAATCTGCCAAATTTTTGTTTGTTCTATTTTTATTTTTGTTCAAATCCTAAAAAAATGGCCTATTAATATTTTAAACTCTGTTGTGATTGATAGGGACAGGGTAATCCCTTATAATGTCGCCCACCTTTAACTTTTTTATTTTTAGTGTCCCAAAAAATATGGTTACAGGGAAAAACAAAAAGTTTATTTTTTCTTAAAGGATCACCTTATATGAATTTATTTTTTGATTCCTTGTAAATTTTTAAGCATAATTCTTATAACAAAATATATAACTTAATATGCCTAAATTACCGTTTCTGAAATATTCGCTTCTGAAACGTTTTCATCAAATATTCTTTGGTACGTTTACATCTGACACTTTTTGCATGAAACTTATGTCAGACAGCTAATGTAACAATCAAAAATATATTTTTGACATTTTTTATTATTTACATTGTTATTTTGTGTCTGACATAAATTTCATGCAATAAGTGTTAGATGCACAGACCTAGGTAGGTCTGTGGTTAGATGTAAACGTTCCATTACAAATCAAGTAGCCTTATGATAAAAAAAGTATTTTTCTCTGTATACTGATCATTTTTCAAATTCTACATAACCATACTTTAAAATTTTTTGGAACACTTAAAATAAAAAATTTAAAGGGGTGCGACATTCTAGGAGTTCATTCAAACATTACGTTATTTAAATGTACTGCATACAGGGTCACCCTGACAGGGTGTTAAAAAAAACTATCAAATACTTTAAGGAGTCAAAATAACACCTTTAAATAATTTCAGTAATAATATTCAGTAAATAATTTCAGTAATAATATGAAAAGCTTACTGCTTTGTCGAGCTTTTCGGCCTTCCTCCCAGTCCCTAGATCCTGCTAAAACATAGCTGATGGATGCATATATGTCGGTTTCAGTGGTTTCTTTAAATTTATGTTTTATCACATCTGAAAAAAATTACATTAAGAATTGCAATAGCACCTTTTATTATTTTAACCTTTCAATGCTTTGCAGACTTTTAGTTTTGAGAAATCCTTTTTTCCTTTCTTTCCTTTATCACTGAATTGTATGGAGACTTCCTTACTAAGTATTTTTTTTAATATAAATTTAACTGTTTCCTTTAAGTCTTTTCCTCCCAAATAAGAAATTTCCTTGATCTAAAAGTACATAAAATTGTTAGTAAATGCATGTAAAACTTCACTATTTGTAGTACCAAAGCGGCGTAATTCTCCGGGGTTTCTTTTACTTTTAGCTTATTGCTATTTAAAATATTAATATTTATTTATATGGGGTCTATATTGTTTTTAGACATTAGCATATTAAAAGTATTTTGAAAAGAAAACATGAATGGTGGGTACCTATCATTTTGACCAAAGCTTTTGAAAAGCCGCGATGTTATTTTACTAGTTTACATTGTTAAAAAATGCCTATTTATTTATATGGGTCCAACGTGGCTTTTCACAATAGACGCTACATAAGACGCAAATCGTTAAAAAATGCATATTTATTTATATGGGCCCAACGTGGTTTTTACACATTAGACGCTTCTAGAAATCTTTCTCACAAACTTTATTTATAACATTAGTAAAATGATCTACAACAATATTTTATTGAAAAAATCACCGTTAAATAAGCTTGCGTAATTGAATTTGTTGGGGATTTCGTCATATAAACTAGTTATTACTTGTGTTATTAAAAACTTATTTGATATTGACAATTGGCTAAAAACAGCGTAGTATGTAATAAAAAACCGTCATGGGTTACTAACAAAATAAGCTTGTCCTAAAATAATAAAATAAACGAAAAAAGGTACTCACCTCTTTATTGTACGAAAACTTCTCACACAAGATACACCTTCTCACCAAACTGCACCAGAGACAACACTGACTACCGCGCACAGTGTTGCCAACCATGTGAAAACAAATTATGGTACACAACCCTCAAAATTATGGTACAATTCATAAAATTATGGTACACCTTCTAAAATATAAATAAGAGGCAGTTTTTTTTTAAATGGATAGAGGAAAAAAATAAAAAAAATATGATAATAGGTACCTTTCACGGACTTTAACCAACTGACAAAATCAGGTTGCTGTTCCCATTCGTATCTGGATTTTTGTGTTCGTTTTATTTAGGCCGCTTTGCTGATTCTGACTCAGAGTCAGAGGCATCCATGGTTAATTTAATACTTTACTTGATAACATATGCATAGATAAAGAACTTGTGATGACAGAATCTGACCACTCAGTGGTCACCACTGAAATATATTCTTTTTCTGTGACTGACATCTGACAGTCAGGTTTCAGTGGTCAGCAGGGTTGCCAGGTATGTAAAATGAGATTTAGCCCATAGAAAAAGAATATATCGTCGCCTTCAGGAGAAAATCAAGTAACTCCACATTTTCATTAAAATTGTATTTTAGTGTCATCTGTTAGATAAAACTGTAACTAATTTATATGCAAGTTACAGAAGTCCTAAAATAAACCGTTAATTTTAAATTTAGAAAAAGAAATATACGTATCTCCAATCGTGGAGGAGCGTCCAGGGAATAATGCCTAACTCCAATATACAAATCAGTGCCATTGACAAGTATAAGTTATTGCCTAGTTATTTTTTCTGTATGTAAGTATGAAAGATTGTATAGTGTGTAAAGTTAAGGTACCATGAATAATTTAAGGTTACTTTTATTAACATAAAGTACATATTGGAGATACGTAATTTTCCATTAAACAATTTTTTGGCGGTAATGTGGAGATACACCAATACACCTTTAATATGTTTTTCTTTCCTCCTGTAAAATTTTACAACATAAAGTTAAGCAATTTTCTCCTGAAGGCGACGATATTTAGCCAGTTTGAGCAGACAAAATAGCCAACTGTTCAAAACAAAAATGGTATAAAAAATTAAAAACACAAAAATTACACATTTATTTTTAAAATCACAAGAATTAACTGAAAAAATCGTTTTGCCGTTGAATGAGGATTAACGCAAAGTTGCAAAATTATGGTACAATTATTGATTATGGTACGCCTAAAAAAATTATGGAAAAGATAGTGAAATTATGGTACAATTCCATAATTATGGTACGGTTGGCAACGCTGACCGCGCACCAGTGGTGCGGCATAACACGTTGAATCCAGTGTTGCCACTTTGTGGGGTATATCCTGATTCGAGGGATTTTTGAGGTCTGCTCAGGACAAAGGGATATTCACGTATTGTTGAGGAATATTTTAAAAATCTGCATTAAATCAAATAAATACTTCTTTCTCTTGTAACTCGTCAATAATTTCGTTTTATTTTATTAATCCACAGTTCTTACCATCTTGTGATTATATATTATAAATTTTTTTTCAGAAAATTGCCTGACCTAAGGATTTAAATAGACCTTGGGAAGATTTTTTTCTGTCATTTATACGTTATTTAATGTGATTATGTATATTAATTTGTAAAAATTGGTGCCGTTTTATATTTGAAACTATTTGAATTGGAACATAAGTTGGCGGGATTTTTAAGCAAAATATGGGATATTTTATGCCTGCGGGTGGGGCAGTTTGTTACAAGGGTAACAACACTGACGCAGATAGGATGGCACAAAATTTAATAATAGATAAATACGTTGTACTTTTTATCCAAATAAAAAGGTCAGTTGAACTTGGATAATTAATTCTTGTACGGTTAAACATATTTTAAAAACAATTTAAATCGATTAAATGAAGCGCCTACTGTCTACTTATAAATGTCGTCGTGTTAGGTAATTTTTACAGTGTAATATTGTATTGTCATACTGGCTTTTTAACGTTGTATTTTCCAATATTACATACCAATGTGCACATAACCTATATGGGCACCATGGTATATTGTAAACATGTATACATAAGAACATACTTTTTTGGCTTTTTTTAACAATTTTTATTAACGTCAGCAACGTTTAAGATTAAATATATATATTATATATAATTCGAAAATGTCATTATATACTATGCATATATAAATTATATATTATACATATATAAATAATACATATTATTTTAAAATGGGAATTACTTTTATGGCGCCTTTATTGATTATGCAACAATCTTTAAAACCAATATTTAACCTTTATGAAAAATGTACATTAGACACAACATATGGAATATATGTGGACCCACGATGGGACATATATAAATAATATATATTATTTTAAAATGGGAATAACCAATATAGCGCCTATATTGGTTATGCAACAATCTTGAAGTCCAATATTTAACCTTTATAAAAAATATTCATTAGATCCTATATATGGAATATATGTGGACCCACGATGGGTCATATATAGGTAAAACCGCTCCAATATATCAATATTGGGCCAACGTAAAACCCCTTGTCACCCCACATTGGGTTCTACTTGGGTGTTTTCATTGTTTACTTTGTCTGTGGCAGCCGCTAAGGTTAGACTTGTTTTATGAGCTCGGCGATTTTTCGTTCGTTAAAAGAAATGGATCGAAAATTTTGTATCCAATTTTGCTTAAAAAATGAAATAAATTCTGTGAAATGTTAACAAAGGCATAGGCCTATAGGCCTATAGGTGAGTCTGCTATAAGTAAAACAAGAGTTTACAAGTGGTATAAAAGTTTCCAAGATGGCCGTGAAGACGTTGAAGATGACGAACGCCTTGAACGTACAAGCACATTAACAACCGATAAAAACGTGGAAAAAGTGGATGAAATGGTTATAAACCATCACAGAAGTCGCTGATGATGTTGGTATTTCGATTGGCTCATCCCATGAAATTTTTTCGAATGTTTTGGGTATGAAACGCGAGGCAGCAAAATTTGTTCTAAAATTGTTAAATTTTGAACAAAATTTTTGGCCAAAAACAATACTGTAATGATGCCCCAGCCTCCATATTCGCCAGACATGCCTCTGTCTGACTTTTTCCTATTCCCAAAAATAAAGAGAACCTTAAAGGGCTGTCGTTTTGCAAGCATAGATAACATTAAAAGCGCATCGCTGAAAGAACTAAAGGCCATTCCAAAGATCGAGTATTGGAAAAAGAGCTGGCACATGTGCATAATATCCAATGGGGACTATTTTGAAGGCGACAACATTAATGTAGACGAATAAATAAATATTTGTTTCAAAAAACGAAATTCCCGATATTTTCTGAACACACCTCGTATACAACATTAATGTAGACGAATAAATAAATATTTGTTTCAAAAAACGAAATTCCCGATATTTTCTGAACACACCTCGTATATTAATACTAAAATAACATAAATTAGCAAAAATGACAAATAGCACCAAGATGAAAATGTTATTGCTTGTTGCATTCATTTCTCAAAATCCTCCAAAATGTTCATATATAAATAATTTTTTTGTAAATAGTTTGGGAGATTTGTATTTTTTTAATCAATTGTTAATAAACAAATGAGATTTTCTCAATTTTTTTATAACTTTATTTGTATATTAATAAATATATTATTTTCCTATACATTGTAAAGTATTTAATAATCTATATTATTGTAATATTTTACTAAAAAATAAAGACGATTATTATTATTATTAGTGTTCAAATTTTCCTTTAAACGTCAAAAATCGTAGGCTTATTATTTGGGAAATTTTAAAAGATTTCCCTTTTTTTCATCCTACTACAATACCAATTTTTCCAGATTACACTATTGCGTGTTCGTGAATTTTTGGTCGAAAAAACACCGTTGTTATGCTCCAGACTCAATATTAGTCAGACGTGGTCCCGTGTGACTTTAAAATCTTCAAACAAGCATACATACGTATATATACATATATATAAATATATATATATATATATATATATATATATATATATATATATACTTATACATACATATGTGTAGCTTTTAGGTCTTTCAGTGATGCGATGCTTTTAATCTTATTTATGATTATGTATGATACATCCGAATGATTCAGTAGAAGTATTTCGGGTAATTCAATAAATTATTTTTTTTCTCTTGCGATGCTACTAAGAGTTCTTAGACACATCCTTAAGGAAGGCAAATTTTGAACATTATTTTAATCTTGCAGACCAAGACTATTAAGAAAGTATCTTTGATTGACCTGTGTTAATTTGTTACTAAGTAACATTTAATAAACGCAATTACATTAATGTAATTATATGTCTGATTGGTGTTGCAAACTTAATTATTATCACACCATTAAAAGGGTACAAACTGTCATCGTTGTTAATCAGATACTTACATCAAATGAAGAAATTTCACAATTAAAACTAAATTTATCATAGGATTTATCTTTAACAACTTAACCTTATTTCTGTTACAATGGAATTACCTATTCATCTGCAATTTTCAAAGGTAACCCATGCCTCATGTTATTTATAAGTAAAGCAAAAGGAATCAGATTTCAAGGATGTATACATATATAATCCAAAAAGATCCATATTAAATTGTTTGCTAATTTTTACAGATCACCAACAGTGGGTAACCTCGGTTTAATTTCTTTAAGGTATTTATTTAATCCATGTTAATTGAACTCCTCATGCAAGAAATAATATCATGCAAATTAAAAATCTACATTTTATTATACAGCTATTTTTCAAATTTATAATATCTAATTAATAATACGAATGAATGATATTCGATCAGTTAAATATTATAATCTAGATTAAGATTTTTTTTAGATACCTTAATTTAAATAAACATCCATGGGAAAAATCAGATCAAAATTTTAGAGTGGGTTTATTAATGTTATTTAAAAATATACTAATAAATCAACTTAAATATCAGCAAGTACGGGTATTGGGCCAGTTTCGTAATAATTAATTAAACAATTTATTTTTTATCAGTTAAATTGACATTTAATAATCAAGTTAATAAAAACTTCAACTATTATAAACAAATAGTTTATAATAAATATTAATAAAAATATTTAAATAATAATTCATATTTTATCAATATTTTTATAACTGTATTACCTAATAATATTCTTACAGACAGTTTAATTAATTACTTATTTTTAAACGATTTTTTCTACTTCCACCATTAAAACGCCCCTTATCGTACATTTTTCCATGACAAGTGATGTTTTAAATACATATTGACAAGGTATGACTTTATGGCGCTTTAGTCACGGGCTAAGGTTAGCAACAGGTTTTTAGTCACGGGCTGAAGTTAGCTTTAAGTTGACAGTTTTTAAATTTCATACAATCGTCATGTGGAAAAAAATAATTAAAACGCTTTTTGGTGCCAATCTTTAAAAAGTTTAAATGCACGTTTGTACCGACCTTATTTCGCCGGCAATAAATTAGTAATTCCCGATAGAGCATTAAAAAATTCGGGTGGATACCCATAAAACATCCTCAATTTCACTGTGAAAAACTGCTTCTATTTCTGATTTAAACGGTTAGTCGAATTACAAGGGACAAATTTATATTGTCACAGACAAACAGATTCCTAAGTTATGAATCCTAACACTAATTTGGTTACTCTATTTTTGTATAGATGTCGCTCTATTCCAATATTTTATATAAATTATTTTTTGGATAATAATATATTAATATATGTCGTAGAAAAAGTTGATATCCTTCTTGTTCATAAACTTTTCTAGACACTCATTTTATTAAACACTCGTTGCAAGTTTCGCTAGTGCTTCAATCGATCTATAATTATAATTTAAACGTCATTTTATTTATTAATTTATTGAATACATTTATATACTCTCTAAAAATGAATTAGTGAAAAATGACTACAGTTATTAGTGACTGCTTTTTCACTTATACCATGGTTAACCATGGATACCATGGTATACCCAACATTTAATAGCCAACTCTTATGTAAAATTGTCCCCTGAATCCGAAAATACCGTCAAAAATTTTAAAAGTAGAGATATAATTAATTCCATATTATATGGAAAATGGACTATATCTCAAAAACTGTTCTACTTTTATAACTTTTGACCACATGTTTGAATTCAGGGGACAATTTTACATGAAAATTGGCTGCTAAATGTTCGGGTCCCGAACATTTAGCAGCCAATTTTCATGCATGAAATTACATGTAATTTCATGTAATCCCGAACTTCGGGATACAAATTTCTATTGACGAGAATTATTAGTGGCTGCTAATCATTTTTAGAGAGTACATTTCAATAAGCTATTTCTTGTCTGGGCAATAATTTACATAAGTATAAATGTTTAGACATATAATTAATGGGCGAAGTTCAGCAAATACTTGCTAGGTATTTTATTCCTTTCCGTTATTTTTTATTTAGAATAATAATCTCATACATTCACCCTTTTTTTAATTGCCAACAATTTATACTTGTGGCGCAATATTTTGAAAGTTCTAA